AAAAAAAAAAAAAAAAAAGAACTTGGCAGCTTTTTAATCTTGTTTTTAATACAATGGTATATCCACTCGGATGGCAAACCAGTCTAGCCACATCTCTACAACATGCTTTGAAAAATCAGTGATTAGCAAATTAGTTAGCTTTGGCACGGAGCTGTGCTCGCTTGCTCATGACAGTCTGAAAGCCAGTTTTGATACTGGCAACAGAACATCTAGAATGACAAGTTTCACACTGTAGGAAATAAGAGTTGCATGTCCTTCTGCAGGATTGTGTCCAGTGATCTGCATGTGTGACAAACAACACATTCCTTGATAAATCTTCATAAGACATTTTCTGTATGTTTCTGTTGGAATCTTCCTTTACAAGTTGGTTATTACCACCTATAGAACCACTTGTACCCAATTCAGCCAACAAAAATGCAAGTGTGCTGATGATGTAATAGTTTACAGATATCTGTAAAGTTGACAAAAGTTGTTTTCTTGGTTCCTACTCGGATGACCTGCGGAGGTTTCATAATGAATTTCTTTTTCTTCCCAGCAACCGTATCTGAATTCTTTTCCCTTATGATGTTGAACACATGATTCACCAGCTCCTCTTACATGTAGTCTCCTTCTAAGCCTACCCAAGCAGGGCCTGTCTGATTACTGAATGAGATACCATCATCTTTTTTGCTGTATTCATCTTCTAGAGCTTCATCTTTTTCTAGCATTTCATCCTCATCTGGGTACTTGACATTCTTCTTTTTCTTGCCAAGCATAATGTCAAGGTCATGCTCTGGTTCAGCTGGTCCTTGAACATCACTTTCAATCTTAAGATCCTTTACATCTTCTTCAGCATCATCAGTATCAAATATCTTTTTTGTTTTTTTCTTTTTTCTTTTGATTAAAGAAGTTCTAGTCATCTAGATCATCAGAAGCATCTTTTTTCCTACTGTCCTCATCATCAGCTTCCAAATTTTTGTCCTCAGTTGGCTCTGGCTCCAGACTTTTGTTTCTGAAGGCTGCATTTCCTCTGTTTGGGTATCCCCTTCCTCATCTGACATAAAAGGCTTCTTCTTCATCTTTTCTTCTTGCTCATAGTAGGATCAAAAATCATCTTGTCCCCAGACATGGATGCGGCTCCAGTGGGCTCAGCATGGACGAGAAGTCAGACAGGTCACCCCCAGGCCCCGCAGCAGCACTGCTCCTGCCAATACCTCTCCCACCACTGCACTAGGCTCTTGCATCAGACAAAGGGCCATTATCTTTCTTAAAGGCTATAGTATCTGCAATGATATCCCTTTCATCATTCTTCATATGCATTGTTTGTGCCTTATCTTCTCCTTCAATCTCTCCAGAGTTTGTGAATTGTATTAGTCTCAAAAAACTGACATTGTTGTTCCTCTTGATTCAAATGTTTTCTATTTCATTAATTTCTCCTCTTTATTATTTCCTTTCTTCTACTTGATTAGGGTATATTTTACTGTTAGTCAGTTCCTTTATATAAATACTTAACTCATTACATTTCAGCCTTTTTTCTTTTCTAATATATATTTTTAAAGCTATAAATTTCCTGATAAGTTTTATTTGAGCTGCATCCCTCAAGTTTTATATTATGTTTTCATTGCCATTCAGTTCCCAATTTTTTCTAAATTCCATTATTTCTGTTTTTACTCAGAGGATATTGGAAATTAACTTCCAAACATATGAGAATTACTAGTTATATTTTGTTATTGATTTGTAGCTTAACTGTATTGTTGTCAGATAATACATTCTTAATGAAATTTATTTAGATAAGATTTTATAATTCAGTATCTAGTCAATTTTTGTAAATGTTCCAGATGTATTTCAGAAGAATCTATATTCTCCCATTTTGGGGTGCATTGTTCTATGTACACGCATTAAGCCAAGTTTCATAATCCCTAATACTTTTTTAGAAGAATAATTTTTTCTGCCTCCGAACTCTAATTGCATTCTCTCATCTACCTTCTTTCTTACAAAGAAATATCAAGTTCTTTATCATTCTGATCACTCTTTCCCTGCATCATTGTCATCATTTTGGGTGCCAAACCTTAAGTTTCCAAACAGTGAGTAAGCTATTTAATAACTGGTTAAGGTTTGGGACATTATATTAATCTCTTCCAGGCTCAAAATCTCTTCTTACCTATAAATGAGGATTGTAGGACTAACTGAGAATTAAAATAGAATGTATTTAAAAATACTATTACTTTTATTATTATTAATAAATAAGCTACATGGTACTAGCACATAACAGGCAAGATAAATGGTAATATTATAATGATTTACATTTTTATATTTATTTATTGCCATGATTCTAACATCTGTGTCTTTTCAGGCTACCATTAACACACATTAAATTTCTCTGGCTACAGTAAGGTTGAATAGGCCCCCATATCCATGTGACTTTTGTTAAAGGGTATAATGTATTCATTAAGGAAAAGATGCCATATATACCATTGAATAAATCACCATTTCAAAATACTTTTGCCATATTTTGTCAATAATTTTGCATCTTCACACAATAACCCAATAAAACAGTGCCATTGTCACTGAGATGGGTGACTATCAGAAGAAAAATGAATTCTATTATAAGACTCTGTGTGAATTAAACAGTAACATTTATTGACCATCTTCTGTGTATAGGTACTGTAGTAGAGGCTTTCAGATATGTTATCTCATTTAATGTCACAAAAACCCCTTAAAATAGATATTATTGTTCCTACTTTATAGATAGAGAAATTGAGGTTCAGGAGGTTAAAGAGATTTGCCCAAGCCCATATGTGGTGGAGATACATGCAAAGCAGGTATATATCAGTAAGTGTATAACAGCCATCAAGTCTGGAACTAAATATACTCTAAAACCCCAATCCACTATAAAAGAGACTAAGCCCAAAGTCTTCTCTGGGTCTCTCTTGTAATTCCAGTCCCCTTCTCCACAATGTTACTCATTCTCACTCAAGTCTGTCATTTCCATTACCTACACTAAGTTATTACTCACAAGCACAGCTAATGTAGTATTGGTCTCAGTCTGTGGTTGGATTCCAGAGATACTGGGAAAGGGTTAGACTTAAGTTACCTGCAGAAAATTTGCCCTCTGCTCCACAAATCACAATGGCTTTTATTGTATGGTCTATTACAGCTTTCTGTAGTCCTTCTTTTACATCACGGAGTACAGCCGTACTAAAAGAAAACAAAATACACTAAGTAAATTAGTCAGAATTAAATTCCTACCATTCAGAGTGTTTTCCTTTCCTAACAATGAAAAATTAAACACACACATAATGGATAAGAACTCTAGATACTTCTCAATAAAGCTTCCAACAAATAATATATGTGTCTACTATGACTATTATATTTGTTCTACAAATAATATATGTGCCTATGATTAATTAAGCACTGAACAGATTAAATTAATCCACTTTTTAAAACTGTAATTTTCCTGCCCTGTGCTTTCACTTTGACCACTTAAAATTGGCACCAACCAATTTAAAAATATTATTACATGTCTTCTATATACTGTACAAGGAGTTATCCAATACTTGTACATAATTTATCATGTAAGGTGCACTAAGATGAGTGCTGTAACAAAGGTACAAAGAAAAAGTGATGTTGAAGTCGAGAAGGGTGAAATGACTTTCAATTTTTCATATTGGTAAAATATAAGAAAATTAAATGAGAAACAGTCTAGGAGCTGTGGCAGGGGCTGTGAGTTACCTCAAATATCCATTCCTCTCCGTCTTCTTCATAGTATTAAAACACCTGGTTTTTACTTGAATATATGTGATATGGTTTTGGCTCTTAATCCCCACCAAAACTTCATTTTGAATTGCAATCCTCACATATCAGGGAAAGATCTGGCGGGAGGTGACTGGATCATACCAATGGTTTGCCCCATGCTGTTGTTCTGTGAGGGAATTCTCAGGAGATCTAGTGGTTTATAAGTGGCAGTCTCCCCTGCATTCACGCCTCTCTCCTGCCACCTTGTGAAGAAGGTACTTGCTTCTCCTTTGCCTTCCGCCATGATTGTAAGTTTCCCCAGGCTTCCCCAGCCATGTGGAACTGGCAGTCAATTAAACCTCCCTCCTTTATAAATTACCCAATCTTGGGTATGTCTTTATAGCAATGTGAAAATGGACTAATACAAAAATACGGTTGCCCAAAATAAAGACTACATTTTCCAGCCTGCTTTACAGTAAGGTCCGCACAAGGAACTAAGTTCTAGCCAATGGGATGGAAGCATATTTGGTATGTGCAACTTTTGGGAAGAATTCTGAAAGATTTGGGTATGCTTTTCCCTTTTTCTTTCCTCCCTACTCCTGGCACCAATGATGGTTAGATCAGGAGCAGCCAGCTTGGATCAGGAGACAGAAGCTATGTATTGAGGATGGTAGAGCAAGAGATAGACAGAATAAATAATTGAGGCCCTTGTTGATTGTGGAGCAGCTGTATCATTCCAGGACACTGCCGCGAGAGAAATTAGCTTTTTATTGTCTAATTTACTATTATCTTGAGTATTCTGTCAGTGACAGCCAAGCATAATCTTAGATAAGAGATAAAGGCAAGATCGTGGAAGATAGGGCATGTAGCAGATTTTGCCAAGTTTTAGTATATGAGGAAGTAATCCACAAAAGAGATAGCTGAAACCAAGACTGAATGAGTCTACCAATGGAAAAGAGAGCTGAGGGCAGATCCTCTGGATATATCTTCATTTAAGAAGTGGGAGAAGCTCAGCAGCGTGATTCAGCAAGTGAGCTCAAAGTCACAAAGACCAAGAGAGAAAATTTGTGAAGAAGAAGGGGATTAATAAGTACCAAGCAACCGAAGAGAATCTAGGGCAAGTGGTGAGGAACTGCTTAAAAGAAAAATCACAGAACCAGATTCCAATCAGTTTTGCCTTGGAATTCCAAGTATTCTGGGTAAAATCTCTGTTCTTTAGTATACAGGGTTAAAAATAAATTTTAAAACAAAACAAACAACAACAAACTTCTGTAAAGGCCATATTGTTAAGACCAATAACTATGAGCTAAAAACCCAAGCAATAAAAAGGATACTTGCCCTTGTATATAATGGTTCCCTTTCACCTAATTACTTTTCACCTCTTAACCTAGATGAAATCAGACAAAACCTCTTGCCTTCAGCTGGTTAATTAGAAGCCAAATCTGATCACGAAAAGCAAATTCAGAACCATTATATAATAAAAAAATCCAAAAGGCACACATTTCCTTCTGAATAAACAATGCCTACAAAACTAGCCAAAATTAACTCAATCAGTGCCACTGAGGAGAAGAAACCAGCTTTTCCTATTTCAACCAATCTTCCTTTTTTATTTATGCTCATAATTTTGCAAATATCAAAAACAGGAAAAAAATGAAAATAGCTATAACAGATACACACTTTACTAGATTCAGGCTGACAGAGAGAGTCACAGCAATGTAAAGGCCGCAGAGGTTACGAAATTATTTTTCCTGTTAATACTGTCAGGCATAAGGAAATAGAATCTGGAGTAGAGACAGCATTTCATGACTACTGACCAAAACTCTTCAGCTTCTTTAACTATAGGAGGTCTTTCTTTTTTTTTCAGACAGTTTTTTTTTTTTTAACCAAACGTCATCCAATCAAGTTTGTGGCTTGTGACCAGGATTTTTTCAAAGGAAAAGAAGAGAAAATAGACTATATCAAACAATACACCAAGTAAGGATAGGTTTTGTTTTAGAAAACTGTTTTCAGTTACGTGTTTGTATGTAAGTGTATCTTGAATTGCTATGTAAAAAACGTGAGCTTTCTTAGTCTGTGGATTACAGTAAAGCAATAGTGTGAAAGCCATTGTTCTGGGAGACAGGCCTATTAATCAGGCCTGTCCTACGCTTATAAAGGGGGCTGGTGTTTATCTGAATGGAAGCAAACATGGCTGCTAAACTAGCAATGAAGGATTTAAACTATTTGTTTTGGGGAAAAAATTTACATATATGTGTGTGTGTACGTGTGTGTGTTACACTCAAGTAAGAATCTCTCAATCAGCTAGGAAGATACAACTTCCCATATAAAATTAGAAATAGGAAGGGGAAAAGGAAGAAAGGGAGGAAAGAAAGAAAAGTGTAATAAAAAAATTGAGGACTCTGTTAAACTTGAGGAACTCCTAGGATGTACATTTCTACCTAAAAAAAGTTCAGAAGACAGACGAAAAAGGGCAGAGAAGTACTTATTCCCAAGTGGAGAATATCTTCCTGATGAAACTGAAGTGGGTCCTGAGTAGCAGGGCCTGTTGTCAGGGGCTTGAATAGGTCTTCTGACTAATAGGAATGATAACTAACATCTATTAAATGCCACTTTATAATTTCCAGCTGATTTAAACTTCACAACTTTATGAGGTAGGCCCTAACATTTCTCCTGCAAAGGGGCTGGGGGTGGCACAGGCAGTTGCATGGGTGGGCAGGGAGAGCAGGTTAAATTCCAGAAACATTTAAAACAGTTGTCAGAGGCTGGGCACGTGGCTCACGCCTGTAATCCCAGCACTTTGGGAGGCCGAGGTGGGTGGATCACGAGGTCAGGAGATTGAGACCATCCTGGCCAACATGGTGAAACCCTGTCTCTACTAAAATACAAAAAATTAGCTGGGTCTGGTGGTGCACACCTGTAGGCCCAGCTACTCAGTAGGCTGAGGCAGGGGAATCACTTGAACCTGGGAGGCAGAGGTTGCAGTGAGCCGAGATCACGCCACTGCATTCCAGCCTGGTGACAGAGCAAGACTCCATCCAAAACAAACAAACAAACTAAAAAAAAAAAAGAACAGTTGTCAGAAAACATTCCTAGTCATGGGTATTAGAGTATGGAACTTTTCCCCCTAAGGTCCTAATATCTAGCAATTCTAATCAGTATATAGACCAGTCCAAAATGGACAAGTAATCAAATTACTTACATTTTTCTTTGTCAAAACCAACATAACAGATATTTTGCTTTTTATTCTGGGAATGGCAAGTTAGTAGACATGTCATCCTTATGTGATTTTAGTCCTGCATTTTTTTTGCATTATTAAATGTAATAATTCACATTGAATTAATATTAATACTAATGATAAATCAAATCTGATGACAGTAGGATTTTTAAATTGTATTAAAATTAGCAGGTCTTCTCATTTCAGTCTCTTTGCTTCAGCAGTATGTGATAAGAATTTTGACTAAAGACCTTTCTCTCTATGCTTTATATATTCTTGGTAAATTATGATTTCCACTAATCTTATTCCCTGTGGATAGGTAATTCTTTTTCAAGGCTGATGTATAACTACTTTTTTAAAGAGATGTAGAATGACCAAACCGAATAACTTCATTACTTTTCAAAAAAGCAACACTGATCTCACTTTTCAATGTTTTAAGTGCACCACACAAGGCAAATACTTCCCAGTGAGAAAAAGAAGACAAGGTGCAGTTTTTCATAAAATGCTATTACATAGGCTTAGTCTGATGTGAGTCTTCCTCGGAAGCACCAAAGTCCTGAGGTTCAAACAAATCAGGAGAAATAATTTTGCGTTTCTGGACCAGCGCACAATTCTGCTTTAATCACTGCGCTGGCATTAGTGGGACTTTTATTATTATTTTTAAATCTTAAACCATTTTACTGCCCTATTCCTAAAGCCTTTAGCCAAACATTGTAAGGGCAGCCTGGACTCAAAGTTGGGGAGTGAGGTTGGATCAAAGTTCAACATCGAACTAAGTTAAGACCTTTGGATTAGAAAGTCGACCTGCAAAGCCAAAGTTGCAAGTAAGCAGGAGGACTCTGCATGAAGGAACACGTCGAGGCCAACTCCCTGAGTGCTGATCTGTCTCGGCCTCAGTTTCTTTATCAGCAAAACGGGGACGAGAGTTCTCTGCGAAGATTAACCAAGCTAATCTAGGTTAAAAAAAAAAAAAGAAAGAAAGAAAGAAAGAAAGAAAAAGAAAAAGAAAAAAAAAAGGCTCCTGGCATGTACCAGTTGCTCAACTCTGAGTGTCCTTCTCGGTTTAAACCAGCGGGGGAGAGTCAAAGCCTCCGGAGCCGGAGGGCGGGTAAGGCCCGCACGGTCCCCGGGCTGGAGGCGACCGAGCACGTTACCTGATCGCGTTGACCGGCGGGTTTCGGAGGCGGATCAGCGCCAAGGCGTTGTGCAGCCGCGTATACTCGGCCATGTTTCTTCTATCACCGAGTGCACCTCTGCCTCTCGCCCCCAGGCAAAGCCACTTCTCCGGGCGCGCCCGGCCGCCCCTAGAGGAGGGACGCCGACTGGGCCAATGCGAGCCGGGGCGCCGCCTCCCGCCGCGCCTCTTCCCACCCAGCCCTCCTCTCCAGAGACCCCACCCCGCGCTCTCCAGACGCTTGTCGCTTTCTCTTTATTGACTCCCAAGCTGCTCCCACCACAAGGTACAGCAAGGAGAATGATGGAAACAGGTGTAATTGCCAGCAAGTGGAAGTTTGCAACCCCTTGGCCCATAGGGGCTGGCTACTGAGGACAAGTTCTGAGTTCGCTGAGTCGGGCAAGCTGTCCGCATCGCGGTATTCATCTTCATGATCTTTCTGAACAGGGACAGATACCTGGGGCCCTGACAGTTATGTGATATTGATACACATCTGGAACACATAAAATACACATTGTTCATTTCACCTAAATGAGTAGGGTACTAATGAAACAGCCTTTGCAAAAATTCTAACACTGAGAAAATTATGGCAGTGAAAGAGATCTGATTTAACCAACTCCATCTTGCCTTTAGCTGCCCTTAATTATTCCTGAGCTCAGGCCAAGTTAACTTTGGGAGACATTTAGTTTATAGTTTAAATGATAATAGCCATTCCCCAAAACTCGACTGCCTTTGTAAAGCTAACTGAGAGACCACCAGGCTAGGAGGATAGAGGAGTGTGAATTCTGTCTGCTAAGGTGTAGACAGAGACCATTGCCAGCCATTATTCCGGAGGCCACCAAATAGACAACCCCCATTTACTCCTGCAGATAACATCGCTATTGTAGAACCTAAGTTTGGCCTTTTGAGGCATTTTTTCAGGATTTTTGCATGCCTGACACTGATGGCTCCACCTGGACCAGTCTACCGCTCCTGTGGCCCCACCCACAAGCAACTCAGCACAAGAGGATAACTTCAACCCCCTATGATTTCATTTCCAACCCAATCAGTCAGCACTTTCCATACTCTAGCCCCTGCCCACCAAACTACCTTTGAAAAACCCCTAACCTACTAGCCTTCGATGAGATTGATTTGAGTAATAACTCCATCTCCCATGTGGCGTGGCCAGCCTCACATCAATTAAATTATCTCCTTACTGCAATACTGTAGTCTTCCTGAATTGATTTTGTTTGTGCAGCAGGCAGGAAGAACTCATCCAGTGATTAACATCAACTAAATACTTATATAACTTTGTTACTAGAGGAGGGTCTGGACTGCAAGTTGCCCAGGTTCTTGGTGTTTTGAACAAAGAATTGGACAAAACACACAAACAAAGCAAGGAAAAAACAAAGCAACAGAAGCGTATATTTATTGAAAATGAAAAGACACTCCACAGGGTGGGAGTGGGCTGGAGAAAGAGGTTCAAGGGACCTTGTTACAGAATTTTCTGGGGTTTCAATACCCTCTAGAGGTTTCCCATTAGTTACTGGGTGTACGCCCTATGTAAATGAAGAGGACCAAGTAAAGTTTCAAAGTCATTTACTCAGTGTACACCCTATGTAAATGAAGAGAACATTTCCTGTCATAGCTGAAGTGTTTCCATCATTTGATTTAGTTCTAGGAAGTCTTTATGTTCCCTGCCTCCAGGCCATATTCTCCTGCCTCAACATCACTTTTTTTTTTTTTTTTTTTT